ATTATTGAACTTATAAAAATCCAAAACATATGTTTTGTGTGAGTCACCCAGAGTCCCCCATTGGAGGGAGATGGGCAGGGGAGTAAATAAATAAATAAATAAATAAATGTAAATAAATAAATATTTTTCAGAGTCACTGATTGTACCAGCATTCAGACTTCTCCTTGAAAGCTGAATTGAAACCAATTAAATAGGTATATGACAATCCAGGAACTTCTGATAAGTAATTCATTGTAGAAAATCGAAGAAGTCATTATGAAAGAATTTCAGTGGCTGCTGTATATCAAAAGCGAGTCTTATTTAAACTAAAATCAAAATTCATATTTTGCAACTCTTTCTCCTGCTCAAGCTATGCAACGGGCAGGATGGCCCTGTTGCCAACTGACTCTTGTTCTGGCAACAGACAAATCTTGTATCAGATTGTGTTCCTCTGACCATGTAAGAATGAACTCACACCAGCAATGAAACTATGTTGGAGAAAAAGAACAGTATGAGACAGTGATTACATGGATGTTACTGCTAAACATTTAGGAATCAAAGACATGTCCCAATTTGAGGTAAAGCCATCAAGGATCTACTAGCAGAAGATCTATCTTCTGCCGAAGCCTGGGGCAAGGAACCTGACATACCACTCTTTGATTTCAATCTTGTTTTCATAAGTAATATGTCAGTTTAGCCTAAATAACTACTGTAGTATAATAAAGATCTGGATCAGAATACTTACGTTGACACTTCATTGCAACTGTAATGTCTATATTTATTCTTAATTTACTAGAAAAGGGAAAACACAAATATGTTAATTTCATCATAGCACCATTATCATTCTACTTCGTCCTGACGTGCAATACAATTGTTCATAAATATTTAAGCTACAACTGTGTAACATTTACTAAGAGCAGCAGGCACTAAAATTTGAAAGAAGTGAAGCCGGGAAGACTAAAGCAGGTTCTGAAAAATGCCTCCACAATGCTTTTAGAGATCTGGTATAAGGAAGAGAAAAAGAAGCTCCTCCAACATTTATAATGTGGAGGCATTTTTCAGAACCTGCTTTAGTCTTCCCGGCTTCACTTCTTTCAAATTCTGAACAGCATATAATGGCAGTGCTTTTAGGCACTGGAGTTTAGCCCAAATAGTTGAAATCTCGTAAGGTTGCCAAATCTCAAGATACTGGTTTTTGTTTATTTTGCACTCTTTCACAAAAAAGTAAGACCTTGCCAAGTTATGTACAAGAACAAGGCAGATTTCAGCCATGATATTGTAACTATAGGTGCTGGGGCAGTGAAATAGAAAGCTATTTTTTTAAAAACAATAGCATGGCTGTTCAAGGCATGTGGAATGCTTCAGGCATCTACCCTTAAAGTATCATACGAGATGGTCTGGACTTCGTTAACTTGCACTGCAATGTGAAAACCTTAACAACATCCCCGATTCTTCAGAGTAAGGTTTGGAAAACTGGAAATGGGATGTTCAAACTATCCGAGATATCGTTTTTGCCTTAGCTATGTGCTGAATACCCTAGATTGCCTTAGCACTGCTTTTCTTTAGAGAAGCTCCCCAAACCAAATAGATCTGGATCCCAAATCTTTATGAACCTTTGCTAGGCCCGTATTCTCCAGCCTAGTATCTTCTAGATGTGCTATTGATGAAAACTAACATCTGGAAAGCAACAGGTCGGGATTTAATTAGATATGAATGTCAGCTTTTTCCTCAGAGGCCAATTAGAACTACAAAAGTCAACCTTGTTGAAAGCCTCAATTTGGCAACAGAGCGTGAAGCCTGTTGGACTTCTGCTTGTATTCGGAGAGAGAAAAATAAAGTAAGGAATGAAGCTTACATTTCCATTTAAAGAAAGATTTATACCTCTACAATATAAGTCTGCCTTGAGTCCCCATTCTATTTTTTTTTTGAAGAGAACAGAGAACTTCCGGTTTGAAGAAACCCTGTCTGGAGAATAATGTCTCAACTATTGTTTTAGTCTAAAGCAAGATATAAAGTGATTGCATAGAGCAGTGTTTCTCAACCAATGCTGGCTGGGGAATTCTGGGAGTTGAAGTCCACACATCTTAAAGTTGCCAAAGTTGAGAAACACCGGTGTAGAGACATGCTGAACTTTCCCTGTGTCTTTCTGAAGACACACTGGAATATTCAAAGCGAAGAAACCCTGTCTGGAGAATAATGTCTCAACTATTGTTTTAGTCTAAAGCAAGATATAAAGTGATTGCATAGAGCAGTGTTTCTCAACCAATGCTGGCTGGGGAATTCTGGGAGTTGAAGTCCACACATCTTAAAGTTGCCAAAGTTGAGAAACACCGGTGTAGAGACATGCTGAACTTTCCCTGTGTCTTTCTGAAGACACACTGGAATATTCAAAGCATTGCTTAAGGATGCAAATCAAAATATTGCATCCTTCAATATGCAATGCAATGTGGGATGAGAGCAGCATAATCATATTCAACTGTTAAAGGCAAAGAAGAGGAAAAAAACAATAAAAACAATGCTTTTCACTGGAACCTCTTACCAATGAATACTGTATCTTGAAATTTGCAAGCACTGACTATATGTTCCAGGTCGAAGCAGACATTGCCTAGTTATCTCCATGACAACAACACAGAGAATCCAAACAAACAACTATTATTTCCAAATGTGTTAAAATCACATCAGCTTCCAGCAGAGAAGGAAGGCATTCCTGATGCCCCGAAGCCACATATATAGCAGACCAGCATGAGACCAAGAAATGCACTGGTATGCATGTAAACTCCCAGCTTGAAAGATGAAAAATAGACTTAGGAACCAGACACGGATTGTATTTTCTAGCATGAATCTCTGTGAGACTTTTTGTAAGTTTAAATCATGGTTAAGGATCATGAAGATATCTATACCAACCAGAGATACTGCTAAATTAGGTTTGCCCTTTATCGGAACCATGTTTAAACCAAAGGCCTAAGAAGGCAAGGTTTCCACACAATGACCAAAAAAAACCAAACCACAATCTAAGGTAGATACTAGACAAATGACTTTGGACAGATCATTTCATAGCTAAAGCACTACCATTGAACAGGCCCTTTCCCCATAGAAATTCTTCTGAGATGAATGTAAAGAAAAGTATCTGGAGATCTTCAGGTTCAGGCAGATATGTATAAGAATATAAGTGATCCCACTGATCTTCTGGGTCCAATCTATCTAAATATCCTTGACAATGGTTAATGTTGACTCCAGTGCGACCCCTACGTATGATTCGAACTCACAGAAAGGGCCCAGAGAATCCATATTTGAAAAGAAGGGCTTCATAATCCCATACCTGATTTCTAATTCTTCAGCAATGACTATGGAATAAGTGGGACTGGCCCCTGGCTTTGGCAGCAAAATCAGATGCAGCTGTTAGGCCATAAAAACCCTCCCTCCCAAAAAATCAAACGGTATTCCAGTGAAACAGAAGTTGCTCCCTTACTATCTAGGCAGCATATCAATGGATTTCAGAACTGATGAAATGAGCCTGGGAATAGGAATGAGTGTTTCCAAAACACTGTCAAAGAACAGACGGACTTTCTATTTGTATCTTCTAAAAGGGCAGTAACTTCCCCCTTAAATCAAGAGGGGGAGAAGTTAGAAGGAAGATCATAGACATCAAGGAGGTCCTGCCTTAATGTACTCACTGATAAATGGGGGCTAAAGTACACACATAACCAGTTCCAAGACTCTGTAACCTAACTCCTTTCTTTTCCTTTCACTAAATCTCTCTAATGAGCTTCTGGAGAATCTAATTTTCTTGGTTGTAAGTGGCTTGACTGTGCCAATACTCTCTTTTAACTGCTTTGTTCCTAAACAAATCTGTTTGGATCCACCCTACCTCACTGCCTTCTAGGGTATAGCAAGCATGTTTCTTCCTCATGTCCCAGAAGACATATAATAATTTTGTTTTTGCTTTTCTCGAGCACCTGGTGTTCCTGTTACCAAGACCTCACAGATTAATATAGGAATTTTGAAACTGTGGCCTTAAGGCAGTCAAGATTTTTTAAAAAACAAATTAAGTCATAAACAATCAATATAAGTTTAAAAAGTATTACCTAGTAAAATCCTTATCTACTTCATACTCATATTTCATCCAGGTATCTCGATATACCGTAAACTCCATTATGGTTAACAGAGCCATAGTTGTAAAAGCTATTAGAGAAACTGAAAAAAAGAAGAAAATAATGGTTTAAAATGGCATTGATTGAGAGAAACTATACATTGTAAAGTATACATTAATAGATTAAGTGATTCTATTTGAACACTTTTTCATTTTGTCCTCTATATCAGCACTGCAAGTTACTCTTTTGGCTGTTTGGAAAATCCTTCCCAAAGCTGGACAATCTTCTGGACGCAGAAAGATACATATCACATGCAAAGGAGGAAAAGCTAGACTTAACCAAGATGCTTGCTGGCAGGATAAAGATAAAAACTTTATTATGTCCAGAAGCTAGCAAAACAGACAAACAAACAAACAAACAGAGAAATACAAAGACAAGCAAGGTTTATATGAGTAGAACATGATCTTTAAGAAGCATCTTGTCACATTCTTGAAGCTAAGTAATAAAACTTAGCAACATTATAGGTGACCTGGAAGTTTGTACTGCCTAAAGGGAAAGCTACATACAATAGTAATCATCTAACTGCCAGAAAAGGAAGAATTAAATTTTGGAGTAAATCCAAATAAAAACTGCAGTGTAGTGGCACATGTGTGATAGGTTCAACTTCTTCCATGATTTCCTGGGTGATCTTGGCCCAGTTCACACTCTGCAGTAAGCTATGGTTTATTTTAAACATTCTGTTGGGAAAAAAGCCTCATGCTGGGCCATAAATCATGACTGACAAAAAAAAATGTAACATGCTTTTACCATGTGATAATCCTGAACACATCTGCCCTCAAAAGAGTTGTTTATACTTCCTTTATTTTAAAAAGGAGCAAGGTACAGAGAGGAAAGCACAATCTGATGTCCTCCAGGTATACATGGATTATAATTCTCCAAATCTCAACCAGCAGGGCTATTCTAATTTGCCAAAGTCTGGAGGTATCTGGTTCAAGAAAGTTGCTCTTAACGGTATATGTAGAAACCAAACATTTCATTAAGGTTTGTATAATCACACATAGATAAGCAAAGTATGGTGGTCTGGTTATCTGGCCCATAAAGATCCTTCAGTGAGATATTTTTCTGCTCACAAAGTTCCAAAGCAACCGCAGCTATACAAAATTTCAGCAGAGCTATTCTGAGTCTTTCTCCAAATTCTCTGACTAGCTATGTGTACATATTTACAGAAGAGAACATACAGAAGAGAAGCCAGGTGGTGAGGTGGCAAAAGCTCAGAAGACCTCAGAAGGACCTCAAAGTAGCCATGCCTCCAAGCATCTGCTGCACGACTCCAAGGAGTAACTCCCAGAAGGTGCTTCTCTCACAAGGGCATGACACATTGGATGATATAACACAAGCCTAAAAACTAAGCAAAGTCAGACCTGAGGCTCCAGATTCTTACTGAGAAAAAGGTATACTCAGTAAGCATTCCACCGTGGTCCAGCTTCCTGTTTACTCCCCACCGATACTTGTTGAATACAGTCTTTACATGCAACAGCTACTAGTCCCAAAGCAGAAAGCAAACTATCAGCCAGGCTTACCTGTTCCTCCACTTGCTGAAGTCTCTATGTAGCTTTCTGGAACCTTTGGAAAGGCATCCAACTCTTTCACTAAATTCAAGGTCTTCTTCCGATTCAGCCGCCTCATCTTCAGCAGATCCCTCAATGCCTTCCTTCATATATACACTGCCTTTACAGGAGCATCACGCAAGTGAAAAAAGTGACAAGTGTTCATTTTCAGCACAACAACTGAACAGCTTTATGGCACATGAAGCTGAGCAAGATTTATTTTCAACAAAAAATACGATCAGTTTTCAACATTTTAGCTCTGTCTAAACTCTACCTTGCCCCCAAGAATATCAGAACATCAGCATTAACTATTACTTCAGCAGCAGCAGAAGATATTAATATTTATAGTATGAAATTAAATCAAGATTAAATCTGGAAGAAGGAGAGTCAGTTTGGTGTAGTGGTTAAGGCACCAGGCTAGAAACTGGGAGACCACGAGTTCTAGTCCCATGAAGCCAGCTGGGTGACCTTGGGATAGATAGATAGATAGATGTATCCATATTTATATAACAATCTGGAAGAGAGAGCCAATGTGATGTAGTGGTTAAATGATGGACTCACCCTGGGAGACCCAAGTTCTAGACCACCCTCAGCCATGGGAACCCACTGGGTGACTTGGGGCCACTCTCTCTCAGCCTAGCCTACTCTACAGCAATGTTTCTCAACCTTAGCAACTTTAATATGTCTAGACTTCAACTCCCAGAATTCCCCACCCAGTATGTTGGGTGGGGAATTCTGGGGGTTGAAGTCCAGACATTTTAAAGTTGCCAAGGTTGAGAAATACTGCTTTACAGGGTTGCTCTTGTTGTGGAGATAAAAAGGGAGAAGGTATATGTCACCTCGAGCTTCTGAATGAAAGGTAGGATATCAATCTAACAAATAAACTCAGGAATGGGAAACATTCTAAAATTATGGTCTACCACATAATAATAAACATATCCAAAAAAATAAATATTTGCCAAAATAGGAAAGATTCAATTGGATAGCCAGAAGAGGATCTTAAGAAAAGTATAGGATCCCCCCTCCTTAAGCCAATGTGTCACTGCCCAAGATCAAGTAACCGTGTTATCTGGAGAAAAAATGTAGCTGCTTTTATTTATTTGGTGCCTTCAAGTCAGTTTTTGACTCCTGGCAACTGCTTGGACTAGTCCCTGCAGTTTTCTTGGCAAGATTTGAGAAGTGGTTTGTCATTGCCTCCTTCCTAGGGCTAAGAGAGAATGACTGGTCACCCAGCTGGCTTTGTGCCTAAGGTAGGGCTAGAACTCATGGTCTCCTGGTTTCTAGCCTGGTGCCTTAACCATGACACCAAACTGGTTCTTTGTAGCTGTTTAAAGGAGCTGTAAATAGGATTTACATTTGCACCCCCATGTACTCCAAAGCATGGTTTTGCCTTTGGATTCAGAGTGCTGCAAACTCTTATTAATTAATCTTAATCTACGCTAAATCTCTGTCCTTGCAGACAATTTTATTCTTAATCTGAAATCCACCGGGGGTGGAAGTGGGAGGGGGAAGAACCTAAGCACTCCTTCTCCATCTGCTAATTTTCTCTTCCAAATGTTCACACTTCACTACAGCTCTAGTACTACTTGACAAACATGGATTTAGTAATGCCTGACTCTGCCTAGAATATTATAATTTTACCAGAACACTGATAAATGATTTCTACAATCCAGGTTTTTCAGACTATAATAAAGCAGTTAAAAAACTATCCCACAGACCATAACAATATTTGGATTGTGGACTGGCTTTCTTCCCTTTCTTTTTTCAACATGTGCCATGAATTATGCAAATTCCCCTCTTGGCTTTTTCCATTTACGGATGCCAAGCTGCGCTTAAAAGCACTTTATTTGAAATTTCACTGGAAAGTCAAACCCATTAAAACACAAGACAATTTCACTCATGAAAGCACAGGTTTGAAACGAAACAAAAAAAAATCAGAGTACTCAAATAATATTACCTCGATTCTCTGCTTCTTTTGTGTTAGCAAAGAGGGCGGAATCGGACTGGAGTGTAGGCAGAGATTCTGAAGCAAGAGAATACATACATTAATGGGTGAACCTACAGAAGGTCAGAAAAATTCTAAAGAAACAGGCACCCAGGCTAGACCCTCAACCTTTTCCAGCCTTGAGTTACTATCATGAGGCACCCAACATCTATTTTCAAAACAAAACAAAACACCATCAAATCTTGCAATATATTGCCGAGTCTTATGAGATTTCAGCAATTCGAGAAAGACCTCACCTAAGAATTTATCAGCACTAGTGCAAAGGGGCAGACATTTTGTAAAGTTTGCATGTTCTAAGGGGAGATTTTGCAAAATCATTCTTGTAAGATCTGTCATCTTTCAGCTCATTTCATTTCATTTTTAATTTTTCTGATTTTAACTGAATTTAGGAGAGGTTACCGGTATCGTGGGAGGGGGTAAGGTAGGCCCTTTGCTGGCCTAATGGATTATGTTGCCAACTCCCACCTTAGGGTATGGGGAAAAACATTTTCCTAAAAGCACTGTCCCTCTGCTTTCAGACACTTCATTTTGACTACAAAGGATTTAGAACAAAGTTTACAAATTGATGGAAATAAGGATGTCAAAGTCAAAACAACCAGCCCAACAAGAAGAAGCTGAAACAAGCCAAGGGCGAAAAGATGGGAAAAGATTTCAAGACTTCACGAAGTGAGTGAAAGAAAGCAAATGTGTTAAATAACATGCAGTAAAAAGAGAGCATTAAAAAAAAGAACCCACAATAATGAAGAGTGATGCTTACACTGGAAGTCTGTGTGATGCCTTTCTCTACATTTCTTTCTATATTTAAGAAGCATTGTTCAAACTACTCAGCATGCAAAAGAAAGAAAGGGTGTGCCTGTGGGGAATGAGAGGGAAAGATGCTGTATTAATGCACTCAACTAGAGAGATTCAGATTAAAATCTCCATTTAGTTCTGAATCTCACTGGTAACTTTGAGTAGTCATTCTCCTCTTAACCTGCTCACAGGTTTGGTGTGAGGATAAAATGGCACAGGGACGTAATGGTGTGTCTACAGGGAGGGGCTAAAAAAAGTTACATCCCATGCAAAAGACATGGGGCTTTGACTGCATGGTTCTGGCCACCATCTTGACACTTTTGACTCCTCTGTAAACACCCCTGTGAGTTATAAACATTATAAACAAAGGGGTGGAAATCATTTCTGGTCCCCAGCACCATCATGTGATCTCTTGCCAGGGCACCACTCTCCCCAAAAGTAGATTTCCTGTAACAATCTGGAACAACTACAGCTTCCTTACACACAGTTTCATGAGATATCAATGCCTACAGGAGGTACACTGTTCACCATTATCAAAATAAACGAAAACCCAATAAAAAGAATTCAAGAGTTCGAACTAGATATGAGCTTGGCAAACTGATATCAATCACGGCATGGGGTAAATACAAATAATAGCAGTGAAAAAAATACACTTTTGCATAGATTCTAATTACAATCTGCACTAAATGCATATCACCTAAGTATTCTCTTTACTATGTAACAAATAACTTGAAATTGCATGCATTTAAATATTTGTCATTTTACCCAGATAACTCAATCTCACCAAAGCATTTTGAGTATGAATCTGTGCTAAATGATTCTCTCATGTTTTAGGCAGTGAATTTCTACTGAAGCCATAACATTTCTTTGAATAGATTTATCTTGGAGTACAGAATAAAGCCCACAACATTTTATACCTACTTTACAGCTAGAAACCTCTACCTTCTGAACCTCACTGAAGTTGAGATTAACTTCTGAATGTATAAGAATGTGCTGTGAACGTTAAACACAAATCAGTTTCTTTATTACCAGAAGTGGGCTGTGCCAGACTGCATCCCAACAAATATTTTTAAGTGTGGGTGAGGTTCAGATAAGGTCACTTTCAGACAACTCTGCCTCCAACAAAGGTGTGAGCAGATGCACTGTCAACGTTGCCACACTGAATGGATATGCTTTTGTTGGCAATTGCATGTTATTCTTCTAAAAATCGGAACCCCGCCTCTGATCTGAGATGTTTGTTTGCATTAGAGAAGAAAGGATTCTAAGGCTAGAAAATACTGTTAGATTTCCAAAATAAAATCTGAAACTCCAGTTAAAAGGCAGCCAGATCAAGACATTATTTACTCAGAAGACAACTGAACCTTTCACACAAATGAGTCTAGGGTGGTGAAGGGAAAAGATAACGTACGTCTTGCAAAGAGATGAAGAGGTAGGAGTAGTTTAAATTTGTCCTAGTTCCTAAAAGCTTTGGCAAGGTTTATAAAAACATAACAATAAGAAACCAATAGAATGGTTGGGGTTTGAAGAATCCAGACTCTCCTTCAGTCAAGTCACAACTTTTGCTCAAAAGCAACGGGATTTCAATCAATTCTGAGTCACTCGACTAACCACACTGAGATTTAGTCACTACTAACCCAGAAAGATTTATACTAACTACTTATTAAGGTACAAGTCACAACCACAGATCACACTTCCCACACAAGAAACTAAATCTACTTAAAGGTTGATTTGACTTGACATGTCCTACTCTGTACCGACAGCAGAACATGATATTGTATGCTCAATTTCCTGTACAATTGCAAAGTTTCAGCTAGTTTCCTTATAACCTGAGCCCATATCTTGTTACTACAAGATCAGGCATAGATGGTCCTGGGAAATATGACAATGAAGTTTATGCAGTAAGCAACAGAACTGAGATGGGGGTAATTTAAGGATTTTGATCTTAATACTGGTTTATTTCATAACATAGCTACAGAAAGGCCCATTAGGATCTAAGTTCGGGAGATAATTTTTGACCAATTCAACAGTTGCGTCAGGAGCATAACATTGCAGCAATAAAGAAATGGCCTGCACATTCCTACCAACCCTAGGGATTTTCATCCCTCTCTAATCCCCCTTTTGTAATGGATGAGTGAAGCACCTGGCACATTGCAACACTCTTTAAAAAGCAGTAGATAACTGTGATAGTTACAGAAGTGAAAAAGAGAGATTATGCCAACCTGTACAGCCATAAAGTTGCAACATAACACTCAGGTGTTAACCATGCTGGATATTGACTTTTCCCGTTCTGCAACAATACCTGTGTCTCTTTCTAATGTGCACCTCTATCACAGCAGCCTATCAGCAACTGCCAGATTGCCTTTAGCAACCTATTAAATGAAAATGAGGAAAGAACTCTTACTGCTGGACACATCTAGGGATTCTTATAATTTTTTCCCCTGTGTATGATTCTCTCCCTGACACAGTATACAAGTCATTCTCCATATCTGAGATTCCAATATTTAAAGATGACTTGACTGTTCTTTCTTTTTTAATCTGCTTCATGAGAATAGGGAAGAAAACATTTGGATCCTACGCAAACCTCTTCGACAGTAAATCCCACTCCTTGATCAGCACACTCCAAAGTAAACACATTAAAAAAAGGTGCCTTGAGTTGAAGGCCGGCAAACACCCTCACACAAGCGTCCCACAATTATATATTCGTTGTATTATTACACTGCCAACAGCTGTTCATGGAGAGCGTTGTCTGAGCACATTGCTTCCACATCAGAACTACAACTAAAAGAGAACAGCATATAAAAAACATCTCAGAGAAGACTACAAGTTTCCTTGGTAATCAGCAACTACACACGGGCTGCAGGTTGCCAATACTAAAGATCGTTACAGGATTTTGGGTGCTTCTGCACAGAGGGTTCCCAATGCTGCTAACCAACATGTGCTGCGCCACTCGTCTCCCCTTCTCTTCATACGGAACGTAGCGCAAAAACTGCATCAGCCCCAATCAACCAGGCAATTGCTCCTAAGTCTGGAAAGGACATTTTCACCCGGGATAACCGCGGCAACTATTAATCTCTCGGGCCTTCTTTGTAGATTCGTGAGAACGGCGTTACTGGAAGGCAGGAGAAATGACAACACCTGAAACACGCGGCTCCAGCTGACAGGTTTCAAGACCTGGAAATGCAAACCGGTTTCAGAGCCTTGCGGGAGTTTTGACATCCAAAATCCAGCCGAAGCGCGTGGCCGTCGCCGCGACCGCTTCAGCCCCTTGCGCGGGCCTCAAGGCGCAAGCCCGGGTCGCTTTGCGTCCTGCCCTGCCGGGGCAGCGCCAGGGGAGGGTTCAAGGCGCCGGCAGGTAAAGGGGGCTGAGGGCCTTCCGCACACCGGACGCAGCGCCCCGCTTCTG